AGGAACAGGCGGGGGAGGTCCCTAAGGGAGGGCGTCTACTAAGGGAGGCCAAAGAACAGCTGTGTCTGCATCGTGGTGCTGGTGAAAGAGCCACGGACTGGCCACGGAACACAGGGCCCTGTCTGGGAAGAAGTCTAGCCAGAGTGCTCCCGAGAGGCCAGAGGGGCATGCTGTCCAGAGAGACTAGTCCTTGGAGAAGGACATCCTGCTTGGGCAAGTAGCGGGGCAGTGGAAAGAGGGGAGGGTCTTCCCAGGATGGATGGACACAATTGAGAGGATGGTGCAGGACCAGGGGCTGTTTCACCCCGTTGAACTTGGGGGTCACCGTGTGTGGGAGGGGAGAAAGGACTGGGAGATGAAGCAGCGGGCTGGAAGGCTGACCACTGTCCACTCGGGTGAAAGGGAGGTGGGAGGTCCGTGAGGGGGAGAAGAGGAATCGGGAGGAAGGGTGAGATAGGGTACTGGGGGTGGTTTGAACTGTTGTGTGCAGAGATGGTGGTCTGAAATGTAAGCCCCACACCTAAGTAACAGAAAACATTCATGTAAAAAAAAGAGAGAGAGGGGGCAGGCCCTTCAGGTCTGCTCAGGTGGAGGGAAGGTGAAGGCTTTATCTTTGGCCCTGAACTGAGAAAGAGCTGGGGGTGAAGCTCCCCCCGCCTCCCCCCCCTGCTAGAGCCACCAGGCAAAGGGTGCAGGTTGGTGGTGGCAGCACCAGCAGCACTTCCCCAGGTCTGTCTGGGGTTAAGCATGGACAGTGGGGGCAGCTGGCACTGCCACCGCCCTCTCCAGACGGGCTGGGTTACCCAGGGAAGAGGATCATAGCAGAAGGCGAGCTGGCTGGCGGTTACCGCGGCATACAGCAGACAAAAGAGGTCCCCGGAGCTTCACTGTTAACGTGGGGAAATGGGGGTAGATGATGGGAGGGCAGAGTCAGCTGAATCATGCCCCCCAAAACTTATTTGGCCTACTGCCCCTTTTCAGAGGGGCGAAAAATTACTCATTGTGGCCCCGGCCATGAAAAATTCCTGTTCTCCATCCCATAATCCAGGATAAAGTGCAGGTCTCTGCTTCTGCAGCCTCCCTGGATTGTCTCCATGCCCCACCCCCACGGGGTGCCATCACCCACTTTGGGGAGCACTGCTCTAGGGCAAGGGGGCGCTTCACAAACATGAGATTGAATGAAAGATGAGCCTGCATGACTTGGGGAGGCTCCCTCTGTGCAATCACAAGGTCCCAATACAAAAACCACACAACAATCAGCACCATGGAGACAATGTCCACTCATAGTGACCCTGCAGGACAGGGGAGACTGTAACCCTTTACGAGAGTAGACAGCCTCATCTTTTTCCCGGGAACGGCTGGTGGTTTCAGACTGCGGCGTTCAGCCCAGCATGCAACCGCTAAGGACTCCTTCCTAATACGACGGGGTTGCAAGAGGCCCGCAGGGACACGGAGAGGGCTCCAAAGAGAAGGGCATTTCCCCATCAACGTCTGCAGCCCCCTCATAAGAGGAGGGCAGAAAGTCAGGGAGAGGAGCCCCGCAATGTGAGAAGAGACTTGGACACTGGAGCAACTCGCTCTGAGGATGGAGGATGAGGCCACAAGCCCAGGAGAGCAGGCAGCCTCTCCAGACTCACTGCCATCGGGTCAGTTCCACTCACGCAGACCCTCTGCACACCGGGCGGGGCAGCGCAGCCTCTGTGGGTCTCTGAGACTGTTACTCTCCACGGAAATAAAAAGCCCGATGAATTTTTTCTCCCTCAGAGCAGCTGGTGGTTCCAAACTGCTGACCTCGTGGTTAGCAGCCCAGCTCACAACCAGTCCACCCACAGGGCTCCTCCAACCGCCTCTAGAAGGTGCAAAGTGGAAGAAACGGATGCCCTGCTCTGCTCTCCTCTCTCGTCTCTCCGGAAGGAACCAGCCTGCTGACACCTTGAATTTCATCCAGTGGAGATGAGGTCAGGCTGCTCACCTCCAGAATGCACACACAC